TAAAATGTATATATTTATCCTAGGTGAGGCTGGTCCAGAAGAAAGACACAGGCCATATCTATGCAATGAAGATACTGAGAAAGGCTGATATGCTTGAAAAAGAACAGGTATGTGGCCTTCTTATGTATATAATGTAAAGGAACATCCATGACCAACTTTGAGAATAAGTTCTTATATTGAAATTTTGAAATAAATCTATCTTCCTATTAATTTTAGTAGCCCATTTTAGTGTTTTTCAGTTCTTATATTTGAAATTTCTCCAAATTCATAATCCATGTGTTAGCCTACTTAGTCCGCTATGACAGAATCCATGTCCGGGTGGCTCAAAGGACAGAAGCTCATTTTCTCATAGTTCTGAGGGCTGGACTCCTAGAGTGATGCTAAGAAGGGGCTTGGTTTCTGGTGAGGCCTCTTCCTGACTTGCAGATGGCCTTTCCTTGGTGAGTACAGGCAGAGAGAGAGCACACATGTTCACATGAGAACTGTCTTTCTTTTGAGGACACTAATCTCACCCTTAGCACCTTTTAACCTGAGTTATTGGAAGCCCCATCTCCAGATACAGTCACACTGGCCCTGCACCACATGTGGTCTGAGGAGACTCATTCACTCTGTAACAAAACACTTTCTGAAGGACTTTCTTTTCTGATATAAGTGAAAATAAAGAGCAATCCTGAGCACCCTCAGTCTTTTTCTTTTTTTGTACTGGGGATTGAACTCAGGACCTTGTACTTGCGAGGCAAGCAGCGAACCCCTCAGTCTTCTCATACATCAAATAAGCAAAACTAGTTTCCTGAGGATTTACTAATTTTGTGTATTTCCAAGTCTATTCATTACTTTTTTTTTATACACCTAGGCTCTCAGTTTCCTATGACTTAATGTAGATCTGCGGGTGACTGTAGTGTCTGAAAATGTCTGTGGTAATATGTCATGGCTTTCCCTGTATTTCAGTCTGAGGGGACCCTCTGTAGGACTCTAGATGGAAACTTCTAGTGAAGGACTCAGTGATGAGTGAGTAAATAGAGATGGCAGTTCTCTGTTGCTTATTGCTTTATCTTTGTCATTGCAGCGTACAGTATTGGTTTTTATTTACTGTGACCCACTTGGGTTTTCACTGCATTATTTTACTTTTTGTTTTATTCAACATTAATATTGTTAGTGAGTACAGTGTATCAGGTACCAAGTGTTGTTGTAGGTCCTTGGAACACAGCGGTTAACACGACAGATCTGATCCTGGTTCTTTTGTTACCGTGGAGGAGATAGACAGCTATTGAAATTGTTGTGAGTGATAAGTAGTTTGCAGAAAATTTTTTAGAATGGTAAGGTGATGCATATGATCTGAATTTTGGAGGAACAGATCAGGGTAAATTCCTCTGAAGAGAGAATGTCTGATGAGAGACCGAATGATGAGAAAGAATGACAGACAGAGATCTTGTGAAACAAATGTCTGAAGAGCCAACATGGGGGCCTCAGCCAAGAATAATCTTAGTCTGCTCCAAAAGGGAAGTAGGCCATTGAGGCTGGAGTTAAATGAGGGAGGAGCTGTGAGAGATGCTGTGGACCAGTGAGCAGCAGCCAGTCCCTGTTGGGCTTCAGAGTCCATGATCTAGGGCCATGGGATGCCATTGGAGGAATTTTCTTCAGTTTAAACAGGGTAGTGATATGTCTGATCATGTCTTACAAAGTGGAATCAATTTTTTGCAACTTGTAGATAAAGCAAGAGTTGAAGTAGGGAGACCAGTGGATACAGTGTATGTGGTTAACAGCTAGGATGTCATTTTGGTTTATGCTTTGTTACAACAGTAAAGTTGAAGAAGAGTGTAAAAAAAAAATTACGATTTGAAGGCACAGTTAGCAGGATTTGCTCTGATAGACTGTTAGGGGGCCAGAGGATGGGCGAGGATGGGCAAGAGTAAAGAGAAGGGGAAAATCAGGAGAGAGAAATGGGACAGGATCAAATTCCATAGGAAACACGTGTAGGTAGCAAAGAGGGCCTGGATCTAAGCTCTGGGAACACTAGGCAGAGGTGACCAAGAAACAGCATTTAATTAGACGGGGAAATGAGAAGAACATGGTATCGTGGAAGACAAAGTGTTTATAAAGGAGAAGGTGAGTAGTCAGCTGTATTAAGTGCTGCCGAGACAGAGTAGGACAGGCCATTGGATTTCACAAGGCAGAGACTGAATATCTTGGCAAGACAGCTACATTAAATTGGAAGGGAAGAGGTTAACTGTAATGGTGGAAAAGAGAACGGAAAGCAAAAGGTAGGGAAAGTAGCTATAGATAAATTTTTTCATGTGAAGCAGAAAGAATAGATTGGTAAAGTGAAAATTCAGGTCAAGAGAAGGTTCCTTAAAGATAGCTGTTTCAGTGCCGACAGAAGAATCTGCTAGAAAGTGGGAAGGAAAAGATAAGGAAAGAAAAGAGATAATTACAGAAATATACTGGAAGACAAGAGCAGGAGCCCTCTTACTAAAACAAAGGAAAAGGAGAGAAAATGGGGGCATTGGCCTGGCATTGGAAAGGTTCGATGTTCCTGCTTGGAGTAGGGAGGGGTGGCTGGTTGGAGACTGAAGGAGAGAGTTGTGAAGTGGGCATCTTGGAATGTGGGAAAGCAGACTTATTAGGGAAGTGCCCATGAGATGTACAGTCATGAATTCATAGTGAAACCAAGTGGTGTTTGGGTGGTTTTCACCCTGGCTTTGGTTTGGGGAGAAGGGCACAGGAACCATTCAGAGGTGAGAGTATGAAAGACTTTGTTCTGATTCCAGAAGAAAAAGATTTTGAAGAAAAGGAAGGCTGAGCTATTGAGTTGGATTAGAGAATTTTAGATAATGATCACAATACGGGTCTGGGTGAAGATAGTCTCCTCAGAGACAAGGAGGTCAGTAGAGCCTTGCTTGTCCTCCATCAAATAGATAGAGCCTACATGAGGTTTTAGAGAAGGACAAAAGGCAGCAGTTAGTGCAGGATATGGTCTAGCTACTAGCATATGTGGCTGTTAGGCTCTTGAAATGTAGTCAGTCTGAATGAGGGTATGCTATCAATTTAGTGTAAACAGCAAATGAGAATTTAGGCCCCAAAATGTACAATATCAATATTTGTATATTGATTACATGTTGAAATAATATTTGGATATATTTGGTTGCATAAACTATTATTAAAATTAATCTTGTGCTTCTTTTTGCATTTTATGTGGCTGCTTGAGAATAAAATCACATTCAGAATTTGCACTGTGCTGTGTTGGACGTCCCTGATCTTGAGTAGAATACCTGACAAGAGGCTGAGCGGCCTCTGGACCCTGCTCTTTCCTGTACAGGAACAGTCTTCCTGGGGCATGCAGCCTGCTCTCGGTTTTACATTTTGAAGTTTCCCCTGCAACATAAATTAATCTACATTTGTCACTACTGAATTTCATTTTAGGAAGCCTTTTCTACTTAATTCTCATGCCACTGGTATTTTATCACATTCTGATGCTAAACACTCCACAAAATTAACTGGCACCTGTTTGGTACCACATTACTGTGTGTCATCCTTGCCAGTCTTTGTATCCCATTTTGGAAACATGCCCTCAGTCTGTCTTTAAGATATTTAGAAACAATCAGGCCAAGTTTCTGATGTAAACCCCAAAAGTTCAGAGCTTGTTGTTTGCTACCTTAAAATATATTGCAAAAAGCAATAGGAAAGAATTTTTGTTAGCATTTTTCACTTAATGAAACAGATCCAGAGAGATTATAGTGTTTTAATGCCGGAAAGGAAGTTCTTACTCCTCCATCTTGTGCTCTCATCTCAGAACATTTACTGCACCAGGCAGTAATATAGTAATCCCAGAAGTGATACCCTAAGCAGATCAGATCTTGTTATCCTGAAATGGTTTCCAAGGCTATGTGCTCTTGTGCTTTTGGCCAGAGTTCATAATGTTGTACAGTGAAAATAACAAAGCGTAAAATCAAATATTGTTAACTAATCTTTGAAGAAAGAAAATGTAACTGTATTCATGCAAAAGCTTTTGAAAACTAACCATTTATGCCAACCCCATAAATTATTCAGCTTATAAAATTTTCCAGACTATAAAATGTTCACATAGTATCCTCAGCAATTATGTGTCTGACAAAGTGGTACCAAAACCTCAAAAACTTGCGTTAATTTGTTTTATCTAATGTTTGTATATATTATAGAGGTTTACATTATAACAGTAACTTAAAACACTGCAGTTATTATAAAGGTTCCTATTTCTTTTAAAAACTACCAAAACTGGACCCTTTGTTTAATTATTTAAAAGTAATTTGCTATTTTTAGCTAAGTTGGCATTGTTATGCTAATCTACAGGGCATTATGTATTACTTTTAACTTCATACTGGGGTCCCAGATTTATATAATGAAGCCAGGAACTTTCACTAGGAAGAGACTCTGGTTAGGAACCTTATAGACTGACTAGTCATATCCTACCTCATCTTCCTGCAGTATGTCTATCAATCAGCACTTTTCAATCCTAAATATATAAGCTAAAGTAAACTATTTCCTTTTTCCATATTTAAAGAGAATATGAACATGGCTATGTTTCACATCTTTTACGAAACTCCAGCTTTCCTGTTATGAATAAATAATTGTAAGAGGTGAGCTTGAAAGATGTGTAATGTGTTACAATAATTTTTTTCAAATTATATTCATCTAGGTGGCACATATTCGAGCAGAAAGAGATATTTTGGTAGAAGCAGATGGTGCCTGGGTGGTGAAGATGTTTTACAGTTTTCAGGATAAGAGGAACCTTTATCTAATCATGGAATTTCTCCCCGGAGGTAAAAGAAAACATTAGAGCAGTGACAGACTAACCTAGCATAACTGTTGATTTGGTTTACATTTATATTTCTAGCTCTGAGTTTTTACACAATTTTTTGGTGTTTATTTCCATAATAATGCCCAGATTATCTTGAAGGAGTGATTAGTATGGCATATTTCAAATGCTGCTATTCTGAGTTTACTGTAACCAGTTAGACTGTGTGTAAGTGTGAAAAACAATAGCCAATTAGCCAAGCATAGTAGGACATACCTATAATCCTCCTATAATAATCCTCCAGCTACTCAGGAGGATTGAAGGTTCAAGGCCAGCACGAGCAACTTAATACAATAAAAAAAATAAAAAGGGCCAGAGATGTAGCTCAGTGGTGCAGCACCCTTGTATTCAGTCTTCAGTGCTACCAAGAACAGAACATGTGATGGACAATGTTCAATTTCATTGATACTCAGGGAAATGTAAATCAAAAAAAGATTGAGATAACATTTCACACTCCTCAGATTCTCAAATCCCTAGTGTGATGATTCTGAGTATTGATTAGGGGATGGGGAGACACTGGCCTCTTGTAGACAGATCTTAGCTTTCATGGAGTCCACTATGGAGCTGTCCCATGAGGCTGAACAGCATGTGTCCTGTGCTCCTGCACCTGCCTGGCCAGCGGTGTTCCCTGGAGGCACTCCTCATGGGCACAAGAGCTGTGAGATGATGCTTGTGGCAGTACTGACAGATAGTGGAGAATGATGTAGACCAATGCCCACCAGTATGAAGTGCTCTACAGTAGTTACAAGTCACAAGATACATAGCTGGCTCAGAGACAGACTGGAGTGAGGTGAAGCACACTGCAGAATCACACAGAAGCACACAGCTTGATACTATTTATATGATTTTTAAAATACACAAAAACCTGTAAGTTTTCAGATGTGTGTGTGTGTGTATGCTAGAAAAATATAAGCTATACAAAAAAATATATAAGCTATATAAAAATAAGCTAGAAAGACACACACCAAGCCAAATCTAGTCATCATTGGTCATCTAAGAGGCAAAGGGAAATAGAATGGGAACAGGGCTAGGGGAAAAGGAAATAGAATGGGAATTTTTTTTAAAGGAATCAAAGTGAATATGAGAAATTGTTATCAGTTGTCAATTCTGTGTTTTAAGCTCACCAGTGTAGTTAAAACTACTTACTATTTGTCTCCTTTAAAAAGGCAAAAAATTTCCTGAAATGAAAGAATGTCTAGAAATGACTTTTTTGGTGGGCTAATGTGTCCTATTTTTGCCAGCCAAATGTGCTCGGACTATTTGTGAAATTTAAAAGAATAGATCTGTGTTTGTTCTTATCATTTTGCACATTTTGACCTGTTATCTTCAGCAGGCTGATTCTGGATGCTGAATGGTGGGTTATTACTGCAGTGTCAGCTCAGCCCTGATTTGATTTCACTTACTCTGTATCTTAAAGCTGTCATGTCACAAAACTTTTGCTTATGCAATGACAATTCAGTTTTATCTAGCCTCAGAGATGGTTAGAGATACATTGGGTGGATCATAACTTGCCAAATCAATCATTTGTTTCACAAATATAAAGAAGATTTGTGCAAAGTACTCTCGCCTTGGGAGCACTTTCAGTAATATGATGCTTTCTTACGTAGGTGACATGATGACCTTGTTAATGAAGAAGGATACCTTGACAGAAGAGGAAACGCAGTTCTACATTTCAGAGACTGTTCTGGCCATAGATGCAATACACCAGTTGGGTTTCATCCACCGAGATATTAAGCCAGACAACCTGTTATTGGATGCCAAGGCATGTGAATGAACTACTGAATTGTTATTTTTTTAAAAATAGAGTAATAGAGCTGACTTTATGATTGGAAATGGGCAACTACAACTCACATTTATTGCTAAACTACAGTATTTTATGGAATAGTACTGTGGGAGAGGACACTGGAATAGAAGTACGTGGGAGGTGGCTGTCTGGTTATCTCCCTGCATTTTCTACTATTCCAAATCATTACCCTAAAATATGTATAATTTTACATTTTTACCTATATAAATTCCAAGGTAAGAATTTTTATAAAAGTTGGATTTGGAAGAGGAGTTTGTAATAAGGTTTTGGTTTTCAAAATTTAAATAATCTGATTTTACTATAATTTTTTTAGGGACATGTAAAATTATCTGATTTTGGTTTATGCACGGGATTAAAGAAAGCTCACAGAACTGAATTCTACAGAAACCTCACTCACAACCCACCAAGTGACTTCTGTAAGTTTGCTATTTCTTTCCCTTACTTAAATATTATAGTTTGTTTAGTTCAGTGCTGTTAAAAACTGAAGATTCTCTCCCACCCTGTCCCCATTCTCTAGATTTACTCATGTGCTTCTTCAGATGGATATGTGTGTCTTCTGGTGATTTCTTCCCTCATGCTTATCATTTTATCTTATTGAAATTAGCATTTCAGAACATGAACTCAAAGAGGAAAGCAGAAACCTGGAAGAAGAACAGGAGGCAGCTGGTGAGCCCGTCACTTTCTACAAAAGGAATTTGTTTTGGTCCTGAAGTCTCGCCTTTGTTTTACATAGATGTGACTGCATGTTCTGAAATCATACCATATTCTTACTTTCTCTTTATGCTTGCCTTACCTATAAAGCAAAGTGTCAGTTTTTACTGTATGATTTAACTTTAGAGTACTTTACTGAGCATATCTGTAAGTAATAGACTATATAAGTAATATGCTGTAAGTAATCTCTGTTTATTGGTAAGTAGCACTTTAAATATAACTCACTGAGATGAACCTAACTGTAAAGAATGGCTTGTGATTTCTAGTTTCCATTTTTTGTGCCTGTGGTATAAATCCTACTGTAGCAAATACCAGCCAATAAGTAAAGCAGTGAGTTTTGGGAACTTCTTTGCTGACCAAGTAAAGAGGAAGTTAGAATGTCAGTAATATTATAATAAAATAGACATAAAACTTTAGACAAGTAAACTTAATTACTCCATTAATGCGGAGTCACACTAACTGTTTTTAACCCCGTGCTATTTCCCTTTCTATTAGAAATTATAGAAATTCTTTTTGCTATTTCTTCTTTCCCTTTAACTTGTTTATCAGGACCATGAGCATTCTTAAGATTAGGAATGTACCTTTTGACTTTGTTTTCCTAGTCTTGCATACAGTGCTCGGAGTGGATGGACATCTTATAAGTATTTATGTACTTTAGCCAAGTGATGAAAAGGGACACTAATTTACCGTTCTCTCAAGGAATTAAGTAGGCTGAAAAATAATAGTCTGACACCCTCTAAAACCAAATAAACAACCTGAGCTCAATACTGAGCTCATTCTTTCCTTAGCCCAAGAAACAGCAGGCTTTCTATACTTGCAAAACATTTTAGTGTTTATAAAATTTATTTACTGTGTGTATTAAAATTTATTTATGTATTAAGGAGAAAAACTTCATTCTGCTTCTAAGTTTCACTTTAGATCAGATTTTACAGTTGAGAAAATAATTGCAGTTTTCCCTATTTGTAACAGCAAAATCAGTGAACACTGCTTAAAACTATGGCAAGGAAATTGTGTACCTCTGTCTATAGGCTGTGCCCAATGAAGACTTGCGCACAGGTTCTTGTCCTCTTGGCCATCAGGCACCCTGTCTAATGTTATTTTCAAAGGGAGCAGAGAGGACTTCAACGAATGACTTAGAGTTTCTTATGGGCAGAAATCATGTATTCTTGAACATATTATCTGATTCAATACCTGTCACATGATGAACATGCAAAAAAGGATTACATGTATATATTGTGTTTCCCAGTAGTAAATGATGTTCACCTTTTAAAAAATGTTAAAGATACTGGCTTGACAGACTGTCCCTTGTAGGCATATTCCACAGTTGGGACGCCAGATTACATTGCTCCAGAAGTCTTCATGCAGACTGGTTACAACAAACTATGTGACTGGTGGTCCCTGGGAGTTATTATGTATGAAATGCTAATAGGTATGTCCTGTCCTTAACTTATATACATAATAAGTACACTGTATGAATTGCTAATAGGTATGTCATTAACTTATGTACATAATAAATAACATATTACAGACATCAAGGCCTAAAATAGCTGAGCTATTTTAAGCCTTACTGTTAACATTTCTCAGTGTTGAATATGATAAATACCAACAAGTTCCCCAGGGGTTCTATTGCAGCAAGGGAGGTGTTGAACCTCAGCTGCCATGCATCCATATTGTGGGGCAGTCCTTTGTTTTATTGACTTTATTAGCAATTTTGTTGTAAATTGATAAATGGTGGGATTATTTTACTATTAAATAGAGCATGCAGGGTTGCTTAGTTTCTATGGCACATATTTAGTAGGTATAATTTGATCAGTCACAAATGACAATAAAGCGTTTATTTTTCCCTGATATGTAGGCTATCCACCTTTTTGCTCTGAAACTCCTCAGGAAACATACAGAAAAGTGATGAACTGGAAAGAAACTCTAGTATTTCCTCCAGAAGTACCTATTTCTGAGAAAGCCAAGGACTTAATTCTCAGGTTAGTGGTTAAATTTCCGAGAAATGCAGGGTATCTCAGAACTTGAAAAGTACCTAACTGAACCATTTCATTTTTGTGAGGAGAGCAAAAATAGCACTCATATGTATGGTCTTTAATAAAGTTTAATAAAGAAAGGTGTTTTAAAAATGTAAACTCCTAAAAAGGAAATTTGCAAGGAAAAAACAGTTAAAAAGAGGGAAAAGACCTGGTATCATTTCAGGTACTGATGTAAAGTAAATGCAAAATGTCACTTTTATTGGACTACAGTAACTCAGTCCCATTAAAGGAAAAAGGGAAAATAAATCTGTTATAGCAGGAAGTCCTGTCATGGAACTCTGTTTAAGAAATCATCTGGGCAGGAGACTGCATTGTGTTTCCCAGCTGAGTGTAGTGTTTTGGTGCGGTTGTGAGTGGTCTGAAGGAATTTAAATTAGGACAGCTGATTGGCAGCATATCACAGAAAATATTTAAAGTGGATATGACCTGTGACCAGCACTTCTGCATGTAGGAATTTTGCTTGTGCAGATAATCAGATATGTATAATGATTTAGTATGTTTATCATAGTAGTATTTTAGTTGTAAAAACTGGAAACCATCTAACTGTTAAACAATGTTGGAATGGCTAGATGAATTATAATATCTCCAGATACTAATTTTAGAAAATTAATTTGTAGGAAAATATTTAATAGCTCTGGGAAATTTTCTCAGTGTATTGAGTGAAAAAAATAGTGCTGAAATAGTCAAGAAATTAGGAGATAGGTTCAAAATATTTATAGTAACTATTCCTAAATAATGTAATTAGTGATGACTTTGATTTTCTACTTTTTCCACAATGAATACAGTTATGATCAGTAAACAGAAAAATATTGCAATGCTTTGAAAAGATAAAACATTTGAAATGATGTGACTAGAGTCTGGATGGGTGTGATTTGTGTATGTTAATTTGTTTCCTTCTTTCCTTGTTTAGATTTTGTATTGATTCTGAAAATAGGATTGGGAATAGTGGAGTAGAAGAAATAAAAGGCCATCCCTTTTTTGAAGGTGTAGACTGGGGGCACATAAGGTATGTTTCCAGGCTTGCAATGGAGAGGCTGCAGTAGAGTAGCATCCAGTGTTAACAGTTACTTCACCATTAATTCTGTTAGATCACACATGAGAGGTAGTGCCTTTTAGGCAGTGTTCTTCAGATGATATGAGTGAGACTATTGGATACAGCAAAATGACTCATCTTGGGCTAATAGTAAAGCAACATTTTGTTTGTTTGTTTGTTTGTTTGGTACTGGGGATTGAACTCGGGTCCTTGCGCTTGCAAGGCAGGCCACTGAGCTAAATCCCCAGCCCCAGTAAAGCAACATTTAAGAATTGCTTATCATTGTTAATTGTGAGCTTTGGGCTTCTTTTCAGTTTTTGGCCACACTGCCTACTGTAGTCCAGTGTTCTGCATAGAGCACTTGGGAAATAGCTGTCTGATGGCTCCTTGTTCCGTCCTTCACTTTGCCCTTGATGGCCCTGCAGGGAGTCTTGCCGCACCTGCACCGGTCACATCTCAGAGTTCTTTCGTTTGTTTCTCATTCCCACTGGAATGCTACTCTGCCCTGGCTTGTTCTTGCCTCTGCCCCTGCCCTGAGGCCTTGCCACTCCTGAAGAGTTCCTATCACTTCCTTGGTGTAGACCTCCTTGGAGATCCCACTCCAATTCCCACTGTTAAGATAGCTGTGATATTTTGATCATTGCTTGTATGTCCAGCCCTTCTGTAAGTACTTACCTTGCATTTCTTCTCTTATCCTCATGATACACCCTATGAACTAGAAACTGTTTCACAGATGAGGAAATGTAAGGCAGGGAGAAGTGCAGTGGTACCTTGGTTCTTGAACTCATTTCTCCATGATTGTTGGTCATAAATTGAACTAAACGAGAACTGATTCAAATTTCCCCATTAGGTCAACATTGAACCTAATCACTGAATTTGACTTAGTGTTCGTCCATCTCAGTTTGCTGTCAGAATTGTGGAAAGAGTCAAGTTTGCGAACTGATACACCGTTGTAATTTGCCTAGAGGGCCACAGCTAAGTAAATGAAAGAGTTGGTATGACTCAGGCAGTGTGAATCTGGAATCTTAATCCTTTTTTATGTGTATTTTGTGGTGGAAATTGAACCTGGTGCCTTGCACATGCCCTAACACTGAGCTACACCACAGGCCTTGAAGCCCTGACTCTTAACTGCTACTATGCATACATCGTCTCATTGAGAAGTCTGATCCCCTCCTCTCTTTTTTTTTTCTTTTTGTGGTACTAAAGGTTGAACCCAGTGCCTTTGCACTAAGCTACATCCCTTGCCCTTTTTACTTTTTGAGACAGTATCAGTAATTTGCCCAAACTGGGCTCTAATTTGAGATCCTCCTGCCTCAGCCTCCCAGAATGCTGGGATTACAGGCTTTTACCACCACACCTGGCTGATAATCCTTTGTATAGTTGGAAGGATGCTTAAGAGACTACCAGTTCTGTCTCTTGGTTTCATAATGAGGAGACTGACATAGCAGGGATTTTGCCTAAGTTCATAGTGCTAGTTAATAACAAGAAAGGTTCGATCTCAGAGGTCTAAGCTCTATGGCTCTTTCTTTATTAAGTTAGTATAATATGTGTAAGTAAGTTGGGATAATTCTGGTAAGAATACATATAATATATGCTTTTACATAATTTGGTGAATGTAGTAAATCCATTCAGTATTGACTGAAAAAGCAAAACTGCAGCTTCTTTTAATTGTTTGTATGGCTTAGTGTTGTCAACATAATCATTTTCATGACTGATTTGTTTAAACCTAATGTTCTTGATTTTCTTAAAATGTATGACTGAGAAGCTTCTTTGTTTAGATTTCATCCTTTGTGCCCTCACTTTCCCAAATGACTGGATTTTTAAAAGAAATCATCAACCTCCATCCTCTCCCTATGTATAGAAGCTTTTCCATTTTTCCTTCCATTTTCACTGTTTTTCTTGTCCTTTCCATCCTTTCTCTCTCCTTCTTCCTTGTTCCCCTTCCCTTTTGAACACTTTCTTCCCATTTCCCCACATCCATTATGTATTTCGGTCCTTATTTCCACTTTCTCACACCAGAGAAACAATGTATTTTAACATGTGCATCCAATTTATTCACTTAAGAGATATGGATTTCTAAATCTTCTCTTAGAACAGTTCTAGTCCTAAATCACTTAGCCCTAACGACATAGGATCCAGTCCTGGCAGTATCTTTCATACTTTATATAGTCTTTTTAGTAAAATCTCTTTTGTCTTACTTTTCCTATCATTAGGTCTTGTTTTTCCACTTAAAAAGTAGTGTGAGAAGGTCTTGGCACAAAACTCTGAAAAACCCAAGTAAATGAAATCATTTCAGTAAAAAATTACACTTAACTATTTTGAAATCCACTTAACTATTCTCAAATCTACAACAAATGTCCTTGGCCTTTCTGTTATCTATAAAATAACATGAAGAACTTGCAAGATTTGTTGAAAAATTGAGTTTACCATGGTTGTTCAATACCTTTTTATAGGGAAAGGCCAGCAGCAATCCCTATAGAAATCAAAAGCATTGATGATACTTCAAATTTCGATGACTTCCCTGAGTCTGACATCTTACAGCCAGGTAAGACAGTTCTATATTGTGACCCAAGCTACTAAAAGTCTGTGAAGATGTCATTACACTAATGAGATTTGCTCTTGGTTAATTTTTCTATCTATCTAGTGCCAAATGCTACAGAACCAGACTACAAATCCAAAGACTGGGTTTTTCTCAATTACACCTACAAGAGGTTTGAAGGGCTGACTCAGCGTGGCTCCATCCCCACTTACACGAAGGCTGGGAAATTGTGAGCGAGCTCCACAGCACCCACAACCATGAGCACTCAGGTAGCTGCACGCCAGGCCTGCTCAGCGCAGATCTCCAGACCTGAAGTCTCCTGAGGATGGCGGTGCTCACTGGCGACAGAGGAAATTCTGTAGAACTAGGGTTTCTAAGTACTACAGGAATGGGTTGGCAGTGCCAGCTGGATTTTTTTTTAATTTATTATTTTTGTTAACTTTATCATATGAAGGTACTGGAATAAAAGGAATGTACATCCCCGTCTGACTACCCCACCTGCCTGCGTAGTGAGGTCCATCCCACCTGTGTGTGCTCTTGCTTTGGACTGGGACTCGGGAGAGACACAGCCATCTCATGCAGCATTGGCCAGCTGTAGGCAGCACTGCTGTTTCTCTGCAGATCTTATGGGTCTAGATACATCAGTAAAAGCCATCTTCCACAGCTGGTGTTAGAACATTTACCCTATTGGTTTGGACACCTGTAGAACATATCTGAAGACAATTTCTGTAATGCTTTTAAGAAATTAAAAAAGAAATGCACTGGTTCTTTAAAGATAGAATTTATCATCAACTTACTATACAAACTGCATAATAGGGAATGAAAAGTTTCCATTGAGGTTTTTACTTTGCATTCAGAAATACCAATGATATACTAAGTCTGTGCACTCATAGGGAGAGGTACTGTATTACATAAAATGTAGTAAGGACTCATGCGGACGATTTTTTTAAACAAGAAGACATGACATTATTTTAATTTGATTATGGTGAGTTTGAGTTGAATTTCAGAAATTACCACAAAGGCTGCTTTTAGAACCGAGTGTATTTTTATTAAGCTATTTTTTAAAATGTCAAACTTCTGATCATGTAAATAGATTTGTAAGAACAAAGAACTATTTACTTTGGTTTCTAGAAAGTTGTTATATATCATGCCTAGTTGGTTTTTCTTCCTTTTGGTGAAAAATTTTCCTTTGATAGTACTGGTATTATTGTGCTATTATTTTCTTCTGCTCCAAATGTACCAAAGATCCTGGACAAAGCAGAGGTTCACAGCAGGTGGAACTGCACTTTCCTGGGGGAAGTCTGTGTCCAGACGTGATAGATCTTTGATGGAGGGTCATCTGCCTCTCTAGGCAGCGCAGTCACAGCTGCATCGCTGTGGTTGGTATCAATGAAATTAAGAAGGTCCGTGCAGGCCAGGGGGCATGATTAGGGACATGGGGGGATAATGTCAGCCCCAAAGTCTTTGGGTATTTCCCCAAGAAATTCTCATTTCTTGCTCAACATTTTAATTCTAAAACAACTTTCCAAGATTTGGACTTCGTAATATCCTGTTGAGGAATTTTAGTTTATTGAAGAATGACCTAATTTGTATCTGAACTGTTTGTTAATCACTAGAATTACAAGTGGTCTATGATCAAAACCTACAATGATTGTTTATTTGTAGCAGTGTCTTTCTATGGGGAGGATTACCTAGGAGCATGGGGTAGTGCTGCAGAAGCTTTTATAAATGCTGCACTTGGTGACACCATGGTATATCAGTGAGGCCACAGGGCATCCTCTCCTTTCGATTGCTTCAAGCATTTGTTGAGTCCTTACTTTGTTGATCTACTGGCTCATCTCCATTTTCCTAGTCTGGATCATGTGGGTATGTATTTAGAAGGAGCTAGGAAAACTCTGGGATTATCTCAATTTGACTAACCTTAACTACTTTTTATTAGAAAAAGAAAATTTTTAATGCCTGCTGGGGTTTATGAGATTTTCTTGCTCCAGCTCATCCCCTGTTTAAAGGGATTTTAATTAGTAGAGGTCCCTGGCTATTGGACACATTAAAAATGACTTTTATGTAAATTTACTTTGTCTTTTACAACAGGACTGTTTTGCTAGTGGTGATAATGAATAGGTAAGATATGAAGAAAGTGCAGCATTCTCTAGTTCAAGTGCAATAGCTATTCTGATATAGAAAATATTAATTTAGGTGGACTGAGTGCTTGAGATTAGTGTATAGAAGCTGAATTACCCATTTACTTTTTAATTGCATAAGAATGGGGCATTTTAGTTTCATTTCCTTTGTGGTTATCAGAAAGAACTTGGGAATGGGTATAATTTTTTGGCAGTGGGAGGGACACTTTGGGAACTTTGTTTAGTCTAATCCTTCCTTGGAGTTCATAGAGTGGTCCACATCTTGAGGGATTTCTCCTCATCAAAAGCGTTTCTTAAGTGCCTATCTGAAAGCAGTGTAAGACTGCCCTTTGGAAGCTAAGATTTGATTTTTAATGCATATTAACTATGTGATTTGCAAAGCATCCTTAAGGTTTACTTATCTCAGTTATACATTTCCCATATTTCAGGTGAATGATTTAATTTAAAAAATAAAACCCTATCTAATCAGCTGGGCATGTTGACATTTTCTTGAAATTAGACTCTTAAATTTAAAAAGTTTTAATATAAACTGTGTTTTTGTTTTTCTAAGTATGTAGAGAGCTTGTATAATTCAGATTTTTTGGTTTCCTGATTTAATGTAGACTTTTTATTAAAAACTTTTATATTAAAGCAAATTATATTTTTCTTTTATGCATTTATTACCATAGCTTTAAATCTTTAAATGTATTAAAACATTGTGCTATCTGGAAATATAGAATTGCTTTTAAACCAGCCACTTCTAAATGAAATATATAGCTGATCTAATAAGCTAGTTTAATGGAAAAATACTAAATGTGAAATATCAGAAGTGTTTTCCTGAGGCTTAAGATAGGGTTTCATTTTTTTCCATGACAGCATACTTTTGTTTTCAAACCCTTGCATATCTTTGTATAAATTTGTAAATTTTAAAATCTTTTAAGTATGCTTACTTTTGGTGTTTTAGTGTAGAGAACCTCTTTAGACAATCAGCCTCTACTGGTAAAAGAAACAGTCTCTATCTTTTGATGGGCTACAAATACATTATTGATTGAGATTTTAATTCATAGTGATCCCTTGCTACTAGAAGCATTCTCTCTGAGTTGTTAAAAATTCAGAACATTCAAAATGACTGTTTTGCTACAACCATGATCATTTGCTGATTTATTTAAAGTTTATTTTCTCTTAGAAGTGCACTTATTTCTGGAAAATGTTAATGATCAAACATTTAGACCAAATAGACAGTTGGAACTATTAAGAGATATTTTAGATTTTTTATGATAATGTGAGAGGGGTTATTGCTACTTTTAAGAAGAATAAAATAATAAAAATATATCTTAGTTATTTTTTAAAAAGCAGTATAATCCAGCAGTTGTCTAGAAAAATAATCATCAGGCTGTTGAGTTCAGTGTTTCCCAAATTGTTTTGGTGGTATGAGGGCTTTTTCATTGTAGGTAAGACAAGAATAAAAACTATATTTAAAAATTTCCTGTTGGTGAAGTGTTTTTGGTTTTGAGGTTTTTTTTTCTTTTAATTGAGTTTATTGGTACAATCTAGGTGTACAATACAGTTACATTCATCATTGGGATTCTGTACCTTTACATAATAGGTCTTGATTCTCATTTTTTCCCCTTGTCCCTGCCCTCCCTTCACCCCCTCTTCCCCTCCACATTTACAAACACTTTATTTCCATTTTTTCAGTTTCTCATAGTTTTTTCCTCTCCCTTATTACCTTTCCCCCACCCTTCCCACTCTCCCTACACCTTTAGCCCTTTACTTCCTATTTCACATTATTAATTATCTCATTAGGATCCTGTGTACTATTATAGTTTTTCACACCAAAGAAACTATTCGGTATTTCAGTTAAAGAAATCTCTGTATGAACATTAAAAATAGGGAATCCTAAAATAAAACTAAAAATGAAAGTAAAAGAGAAAAGGCAATGATGTAACATTAAAATAATCCTTAATTCTGGGGATGAAAATGGTCCCTGAACATATTTAAATTGCTTCTTGCTCTTGTAGTCTTATCTTATTTTTTTCATTATTTAGAGAATACTTTATTAGTTTCTGTAATCAAACCCACATAGATATGACCTTACATATTCAATACAGTGCGTTGCCCCTGTACACATGGAATTAAAAATGAAAGTAAAAGAGAAAAGGCAATGATGTAACATTAAAATAATCCTTAATTCTGGGGATGAAAATGGTCCCTGAACATATTTAAATTGCATCTTGCTCTTATAGTCTTATTCTTTTTTTCATTATTTAGAGAATACCTTATTAGTTTTTTTATTACTTTATTAGTTTCTGTAATCAAACCCACATAGATATGACCTTACATATTCAATACAGTGCGTTGCCCCTGTACACATGGAAAAAAATAAAAA